GCAAGACCTGTAAGAAAAGATTAGTTCTAATAAATAGAGTTTCTTTATACGGCCTTTTTCTAAAGTCCGTCCGTATCTCAAAGAATTCTTGGGAAAAAGTTGAGCTTATATCTGATTGAAAGAGGATGTCAAAGTGATCGGCTAGTCGGGATTCATCTCTGGTTAGAGAGAAGGCCGGGGTAGAAACTACCAATGGCTCGTTGATCGACAGATCCTGCAGTAAAGAGGAATTAGTAGTATCCAGATCTGCACGTATTTCTTGTATAAGATCAACATCCTCTCTGATTAACTGGACTTGAGTTAAGTCAATCTTCTCAGACCCTGAGGGGTCAATGAGGAAAGAGTCGGCAGAGTGAAGACAGGAGAAGACTCGTCATCATCTGGATCACTAGAAGTGAAGGCTGGAGACAGAACAGGAAGGGGCTTCTTAGCGCCAGATTTCAATTGTCTCTTTGAACGTCGAACGGACGGCATAAGAGCGACAGGTTCCTCCAATTCGATGACTTCTGAAAGAGGGTCATATTTCTCCCGCCGTTTACCCGCGCTTGGATGAATTTCGTCACTTTGACATTCAGAGCACTGGGCAGAAATTACATTGCGTCATCACCTGTCACCGACCATCGCAATGCTTTGTTTTAATTAGATAGTCCGATTCCCTTAGTCCGTGCCAGTTCTGAGTCGGCTGTTAGTTGCCAGGCGAAACCGTCGGTCCGCACGAAAGCACGGTCACGGTCTGTGGCAAAGCAGAGACATTCCACGGGTAGGCCCCGACACTGGTCCGGGACGAACCGGACTGAGTCGCCCCAGCCAGTCTCGCCCAGTCCCGGTGCAGTGCCACACCCGCTTCGGATCCCAGCCCGACGGGCCCAGTCCTCAGAGCCAATCCTTGACCCGAAGTTACGGATCGAACTTGCCGACTTCCCTTATCTACATTGTTCTATCGACTAGAGGCTGTTTACCTTGGAGACCTGCTGCGGATATGGGTACGGACCGGACCGGAAATCACACTCTCTCCCTCGGATTTGTAAGGGCCGACAGAGGCGCACGGGACACCACAAGAGCCGCGGTGCTTTTACGGAGACAGCGTCCTTATCTCCGGACGAGCCGATTCCAGGGACATGAATCCTTACAAAGAAAAGACAACTCTTCCCCGGGTCCTCCGTCGACGTCTCCGAGTTCGGTTGCGTTACTGCACTTGTTCCCGAGGGGACTATTTCCGTGTCCGGGTTGAGGAATATCGACCCCATTCCCTTTCGGTCGGCAGCGAGACGAGCATTATCGTTTATTATAGTATTAAAAGCCTAATTTAGAAATATTTTCAAATTAAATGCGGAACTGTCTTTAGGATAATGCTCAAGTCATAACAATAATTAAGACTATTGAATTTGTATGTAATAAGTTATGCACTTTCTCGTTTATAATCTTGAAAGATATTGGGGATTTATTCCCTTATTTTTTTGTTTTTCCAACAAATGACTTTCGCAGAGGGTTGGCGCCACAAATCCAGATTAATGCGACACATAGCAGTTCCCAAGATTGATTGGCATTTGATTGTTGGAATTCCAATTCTGGGTTGTCTTTTTCATAATAGTAATAGTCTATAATCAAACTATCTTTTCTATTTCATTTGTATGATTATTAATAAGGTAATTGATTTTAATTTTTAGATTAATATTTGTATATATTGAAAATATAACACATATTTTGATAAATTGAAATATTTTTCTATATATATATATATATATATATAAACAACATAAATCACGTCATTATAGTGGCCGTCCTATTCAGCAGTTCTTGCAATATCCTTTCACAGAAGTCCAGAAATATATCCAACATTCTGACGAGAGAGTATCAATAAGTTTAGAGACTAGCTCTGCTGTCAAGAAATTACTTTATTTATTTACAGGGACACATTGTCACTTTCAAACTACTCTTCTATTTCCTCTTATGGAATGTGTGTCCTGGAAGTCCACTTCTCGAAACGTGTCAAGCACCTTCAGCGATTCGCGTTGAATCTCTGGTCGGCTTCCAATGTTGTACTTCTGCTCTTGTAAGGGCGCGCCGCTCAAAACACCTTTCATGGCTACCAATGCATATAGTACAAGTACGTAGAATGTCTCCTGACATACTGGCTTATAAATGACTACGTTCCCTGTGGCTGTGTCTGCGGCTTTGTGTTGCTGGGTTGGCGTGTCACAGAACTAATGTCGAAACTTTGGGATACCACCCTGCATGCTTGTCACTTCGTTTATTAAATCCGAATTAAATCCGACATCTTGTGACTTTTGGTTGTGGGGACATCTGACTGAAATCCATGCGTGGTGAATTCATAATTTTGAAGATTTTAGTAATAGCATCATCATTTTACACTCTTTAAACCACAGTAGATTAGCTGTATACAATCGTTGAGCAGAACGTCCCCATTTACTAGATATGTTGCTCTGGCAAAACTATAGACACATTCAAACGCTCCAATAACTTGTCTTTCACAGCTTTCCTCCTTTCTGCTTTAGGTATGAAACATCTTCTAGACTTTTCATACCTAAAGCAGTATTGATTAAGTTGGTGTTTAGGTAAATGTGATTATTGCCAATTTCAGTCGTACGCTTGTATCGCATGCATTGTGTAAATAATACTGTCAAGAAAAAATCGACAAGTTGGTGTATGTGAGTGAAGTTCAACAAGCAGGATAATAAAAAATAGCTCTTTATTCCACGAATTTTCCAGAACAAAGACAAGTAGGACTGGTAACAAAACTAAATAGCACTTGTATAAAATAACAACACAAGCAGATCACCAATAAAAATCAGTCATAGCACTTTCAATAGAGCTCAGCGTATATTAGCTCACCAGCTTGCACTGCGGACAAAACTCCAACTAATTCATTCGATGAGCTCTTGGTATTTATACCTTTAACGACAGGATGTGACATCGCATAAACTTCTATTGACGGTTCTCCATATTTCCGTACCTAGTAGAGACAGGACAATAATTCCGGCATTTTCTTGAAGCTTCGTTTTGCCGTCAAAGTCGCCAAATTTATCGTAAGATAGCCAAAATGGTCGTCAAGTTTGTCACAAAGTTCAGATTTCATTGACGTGGCTTCCAATAAAAACTTCAATAAACCATAAGATTATCATATTAGAAAACAACTTTAGAGTTTCGTAACAATACGCACTACAACAGTGGAGTCATTTCGTAAAATAATGTTTTCAGGCTGACGTAGTATCTGTAAATTGCGTGATTCGAGATGCGAAAATGGTTTACTGAAGAAAAAGGAAAGAAGCTAGTACCATGAAGAGTTTCCATAAGATAGAGAGACGGACGGATTTACAGGTAGACAGACTGAAATTCATTCTGCAAACTGCGGGATATAAAAATCGTTAAGCACAGAATGCAACGGCTGATGCAATGAAGCCAGACGAATCAAGCCTAATGCTGGGTATTCACGAGAAGGCTAAGCTAAACCCTTTGTCCTAGACTGTTTTTTTCCCACCCATTTTAGTCGAAAAATTAGGCAAAACATTCACGGATGTTCCAAAGTTTGTTTTCAGACAAGGTTCAAATTCGCAGAATCCCTGCCACCCAGACTCCTCTTCCCCCACTCGGGGGATTTCAAGTTTCATTTCTAGCTTCGACGCGAGGTGCCAATGTAGGCAGGTCCTTTGTTTTGCCGCTACCCTCGCATTGAAATCTCAAACTGGAATCGATGGATTGAGTTTTGGATTTCAAGTTCTTTTGAATTCCACCATTTCGAATCATTTGCTCCAAATTTGACAGGTTTTAGACCTTGACGATTGGTTTTTCCTTCCCATGTTCCAAAAATTCCATTTTGGAAGAGCGGTGAATGGCCTGATTTAATCATTATCATACTAAGATGTTTCGAACTGGGAGTCCGAAAAAGTTTAAATACCTGTTCCCCCCCTTCCATAGAGTAACTTCCTAGAAAAGATGCATTTCTCGCAATGCCGTATTTTCCCTTTATATCTACATTTGGTGAAAATAAATTTAATCCATCTGTTTCAGCACTACACTAACTCTACAAAAGCTACTAGCTACAAAAAAACATTATTCACGAGCTTGGTGGACTGTAATGACTTGGTGGAATGTAATTGACACAAACAAGGGCAGCGCCATCTGTCGCTGGGTACACAAAACGGGGGCGTGAAGAAGCGCGAACACCATCTTTCTGGAAATGTGTTTGGTTGCTAAGTAAAGCATTCATTTCCACATTGCCAGAGGCATAGTCTATATTTATCTTCCAGCAAGGGTTTTCCATCACTAGTAAAACACTAAGTCGCCCTTTGAAGTGGTTCGAGATGAAAAAATAATTTAAAAACCTTAAAAGAACAAATTAATTATGAAAACAGAAATATTTAAAACTCTGGACGCTGGGTACAATTACTGGCAGGCATTAATATCTACAAAACTCTTTCGTATCTGCAATAGTTGGATAGTTGCCAACTTATAGGTCGTGGTTTAACAGCTGGTGGAGTTCGTAATTTTCATTACGAAGTTATTTAATTTATAAAGCTCTGGTGATTGTTTTTTTTAAAAAGGTGAAGGGATTATAAAAATATATATTAACGATTTAATTCAGGATAACTTTTAGTCAAAAAAAGATGCTAAAAAGAAGTAAAATGTAAGTACAACTTGCGTTTAACTCTCAAAACATGTTGTCATGTTGGCAACTCTCCCACGAACATAATTTATAGCCTTCTCCTAAACACTTGAGGAACTAGCCTTTTAAAAACTTTTCTTACTGCTATATTCTGCATCTAGACGTCAACTAAAATTGCGTCTTTTTAATTAATCTCCCAAAAATCAATTTTCAAATTCACAAGAAACGAGCGTCGTTTTAATTTAAGATAGTTTTAAATATATTTTTTCAAGAAGAAGAAAAAAAAATCATAGAAATAACTTGCACTATACAAATAGCTGTAAACATAAGACAAAACCCACAAGCACTTTTTTTGCTCGGAGAATAAAAAAATTCTCATTTTAATTACACAATAGATTGATTTTGCAATTTGTCTTATGTTTGACAAGCTACTTGATTAAAAAAATAGGATTTTGATGTCCTAGAATATGGGTTTGCCGTATTTTTCCCGATTTAGAAATCTTTAATGAAAATTCTACTTTTTTTTACCAAGATTTTCCTTAATTGTCTCCGAAATCTTTGATCAGTCAGTCTTCCGCTAAGCTGTCAGGAAGAAAATGAATAACTTTGACTTACGGGTCTATTCTGGTACCCTCGGTTGGGTTGGGAGACGTCACTTTTTCCGCACGTTAACAACGGGAAAAGTGACGTCTCTCAACCCAACCGGGGGTACCAGAATAGACCGGTTAAACACTTCTTGGGAAAAAGATGCTATAAATGAGAACTTGTTCAATAGCTTCTAATAATAACTGAAAAAATGAAGACTTCTATTATTTCAGTGTTTAAATTGTTTTTGTTGATTACGAATCCGCAAGCGATAATTGCTTCCTACATTTCAAAACGTATTCTATTTTATTATAAATGACAATTAAGGAAAACTTAAAGAAATGGTTTTTGGGGCGCGGGTTCCTCACTGATATTTACACTATATGCCCAAAAGTATCCGGAAACTTGCAGATTTTCACATTTTTTAGAATTTCTCCGGAATGGTTTAACTGATTGCCTTTAAACTTCGGACATGTAAAGAATAGACAATAACTCACATTTTACATTGAAGATTCGGTCCCTGAGGTCAATTAGGGGACCGTCTACAAACTGATGAAGACAAAACGGTTTTTTGGCCCACCCCGCTTCACAGAATACTGATAACAAGATGAAACTTTAAGAAATGGTAATGTATAATGTGCATAATATTTACAGGAATTTTCGTAAACTCAGCACAAATATTTGGGAAGATATAAAAGTTTTCTTAAAACATCTCAAATTTTCCCACCTGTTTTTTGCTTATAACATGCAGAGTTTTCTGTTATATTATACGAAACTTACAGAAAAGATGACAATATGTTAGAGAAGCATTTTGTAAAAATTTGGAAAAGAATATTTGAATATTACAGGAATTATAAGCATTTTTAGTAAATAATGTTTTAATGCGCATGCGCGAAACATAGTGTGATTTTTCTTTCACAGCTTTAAAGCCAGATATATAGGGCAATTGTTTTTAAAAAATTCAGTTCAATATCATTAGTACTCGAAAAGATATCCGCATTACAACGAGCAGAATTTTAGCTCCTGTCGAAGAGAAGTTAAAAGATGAGGGGTT